ATTGTCATCTGAATATCCCCAAGGAATTCATGGGAACGGCTTGTGTTTCTATAGTACTTTTATGGCGTTTGCCATTGCCCTCCTGCAATAAATTCGTCTCTTAAGTTTCCAATAAAGGCTCTTTAGAACAACTGGGGGCAGGCATAAGAGCATTTCTTGTGGGTTAACCCTGAACAGCTAAAAAGTTCTGCATGTCAAGGGGACTTTCGGACTCGACAGAGCCAGAAGGATGGGTTGTTCAACAAAAAATAGGTTGTTGGAGCCCTATTGGTTTTCACTGGACGTATTTTTGCTTCGTTTAGAAGTGACTCAGTTTGATGTTTCGCTTCTGATTAATGTAATCAGTTAAGTCTTTACGCTTTAACTTCACTACCTTATCTCCCAAACATTCCAGTTGGCCTTGTCATCATGGTTTTACCTTCGAATAACCAAAAAATGTTACTACGTGAACACATGAAGCGAAACACTCTCCATGTTACCTACAGAAAGTTAGTCTCATTGTCAAAAACATCGAAGCATGAACCTTTCATAATCGGTTCCGACTTTGCAACCTTATAGTTGATTAACTATTTTTAAATACTGAACTGCAGTCGAGCTGAGCCGCGGGCTAAATGAAATTCTTCAGGAATGGAAAGCAGTAGGAATTACAATTTTTCACGTTAATTTGAAAACCTATAACGGAATTTTAGCATTTTTACAGCTTTTTATTAATATGGGCGCTCAGTTTTTTAACCCAAGTTATATTCGTGCGACATTTATTAGCCAAATCTCAGGCGTCATCTTGGTCTAATGAGCTCTTTAAAGAGCTCATCGGGTTTAATTGATTTTTATCGTTTATAACCATAGCGTATTCTGTATGTTTATAATCCTCAGTTCTTGCAGAAACATGTAAGCGTTCCTGAAGTTGCTAGTCAGACGGCGCTTTGTCCGGAGCCGATTAGGAAATGTGCCTGGTTCCCTTGACCACATTAAAAAACATTTTGCTATTCGGATGATTTGCCGATTCTTACACTGCATATGAAAGAGCGCCAGGGCCATTTTGAACATCTATTAGCCTGGGGCCCAGCATTGCAAATCGCATGGGTGTTTAACCACCCACATCACTTCAATTCTTATACACAACTGTGGTTTTGGCTCGCCGTGCAAACAATTTCTGCCCGCATAAAAGAAAATTTTCCATTTTCGTTATCCCATTTGTACGCCTTCGCGGTCAACACGAATTACTCGCACGTTGACATAATGAACCATGTTTTTATGTTTCGGTATCGGTATCTTACTGCAACCTGAATTACGCTTTCAAACCTCTGATGAATCGCAATTCGTGTGTAAATTAAACGGTTTCATAAGTGCTTTTTATCTTGGCCTTCGTATGTTAAGTCGCTAGTTAGCTTTTGATAGCAGAGGATCAGCGCTTTGCAAATATGTAAATTGCAAGACATATCACCATAAAAACCAAATTAGAGAACAAAATAGGAAAAAAAGTAAAAGTATACCCACACCTAAGGATTCAAAGACTCAGGCTACGCTAGCGACACTGACAGACCCCCCCACCTACCTCTGTGTCACTTTAAGCAAGTCAGAAGGACAAATTATTGTCCACCAGTGTGCGAAATACAAACTTATACTCGGGATTTGACGAAAACATCGTCCGGTTGAGCAGACCGATCATGCTTCCTTTGAATAAAGAGATTTTTTCATGCATATTCTAGTTACTGCTTCTCTTCTGCGCTCTTTATCATTATTTGTATTGCCATTTACCTTTCGGGAAAATGTTGCGTGCTAAAAAGATGTGGGACGGTGACCCTATATAGGGATATTCGGATTCTTGATTTTATTTCTCGACCATGCCACTGATTTACGAAACAGGTAAAATGTTTCGAGACACTCTTTTTCTCAGATCAAGAGACCATTTATTGTTTAGTTGCAACTACCAGTTATTACATGACGTAAATTGCTGTTCACATATCTTTTAATCGTTTTTTGCTACCTGACCAACTTACTCTCTGCAGGCTCTTCTACCTTCAACAGTATAACACTTCCATTTCTCAAGCGCCACTAAAGCATCACCCATTTTCTGTGTTGACTTGAAGAGACAGGGTTTCTCATGAAGATCATTAAAGTTCACAGACTGAGCAGTAAGCCTGATTTATAAATAGGGTTAATAGCTGCGCTAGTCACCTGCGTTTGCAATATGCGCTTCTCGCTTAACGGTAGGCCTTTTAGAAAGCTAACTTGCACATGCCTGTTCATTCGTTAAACACTATTCTTCGACTCCAAACAATCGCGATTTCGTTTTCCTTTTGGTCTAGATACTCACAGTGTTATTTCACAGAATGATGTCCCCCAGTCACCGCCCTTTCGGGGACTTTCGGGGAACAGGTCAGGCCGATGGGAAAACGAATCAAAAAGAGCAAAGAAATTGGGTCATCGGCGTGTCACCGAGCAGGGTACTGTCACCTATAAGAAGGTATGTTGTCTAATTCGGTTCCACTTACGCTTATTTGTGCGGTTCTATTTCTAACTTCCCTTATAGGCATTTTCTTCTGCGTGGCATATTACATTTGACCCTTTTTATAAATAAATTAGCAAGGGAGTACAGTAATGTAACTTAAATTAACTCAGTGTTTACGGCATCGGATAACAACATGGCGAAATAGTTTAAGAATGTATGAATTCAAATGTGCAGGTAGCCACGGCTTCTTATTTTCGCACCCCTCTGAATGTACTACGTAGATGTTTATGGCATTGATTTCTTGCAAGTTCTAAATCTATTTCCTTTCATTATGTAGTTATTAATGACCGAGGCGATGACAAATCTAGTCCCGATCGCATGTTTGGTTAACGCTAAATAATAAGTTTTCCGACGATTTTTTGAACGGACTATCAAATAAACATTGAATTGATAAATACTGTACCTTGCCATTGACCAAGTTATTAGTGTGTGGAAGTTCGTTTACAGAGGCTGCCGTCCACTCAGATTGCCTTGCACGCCAGTTTACTCCGTTTTTATCTGACAGGCCTTTAATATTTTATTTTTCTCAGTTCGGTACGTTGTATATGGCGATTACATCCTTTTTTATTTCGAAAAAGCGATTTATTTTTCTTTTATTGTACAAGTTTGTTTATAATCTCTGGCGTAATTTTTTACTAATTTTAGACCCCAACCTCTGAGATCCAGCGAGCCATCCAGCTGGGCATTCAACACAGTATCAGCATCCTTCAACAGAAACCCGTTCGTGATGTCCTTTTCCGAGATTTCGAGGTCGTTGAGACTGTTGACTTTCCCCGCTCCGGCAGCAAGACAACGCCGGCGCACAATCTCAGCGACTTTCGTTTTCGAACATTCGCGCCGGTCGCATTCCGGTCTTTTCGGGACACTTTTGAACTCGACATCCGCGACTACCTGGTTTGTCTGCATACCCAATTCTTTCATGCTTTTTTGTATGCTGCTCTGTTTATGCTTCAGAGTTCTTGAGCACGCGCACATTACCCATCAAACAGTTACTCCATTATCGAGCCGTGACTTACTAAAAAGCATATGATTTTATAACGCTGATGCTGCTGAATGCACATATTGCAGCAACTTCAATTATATATACTTTCATTGTCTGATAGCTATTCACGCAAAAGCCAGTGCCTGTTTCGAAAACGTTTTAGAGTGTTGTCACATCTTCAACACACACTTCCTCGTTACTGTCCTTCCTCATGCACTAATTGTCCTGTAGCATCAGAAAAAAAATAAAAATTACAAATGATTAATAGAGTTAACCCCAGGGCGACTAACGATAGGCAATTCCTAGATTCAAACATTACTAGTAAGCCACATCAGCTCCACTTCAGTGGCGTTTGAGGAATTTCTATTTTCCCACCTATGCCGTAGTTAAGTCTCCGGTCTTTTTTACTGTTTGCTAAAATGAAGTCGATGCAATAGAATTGACGGGCATGTTTTGCTTGTGCGACGTTCCGGAAATCAGTATGCCAACAAAGTGTTAAATTTGCTGCGCTTTTGACTGTCGGTCAAGCTTGTTCTGGGCAGTTTGCCATTGTTCACAGGCTTTACTTGTCACGACACATTGACGCAAGTGGAATGTATCATGGGTCTAATTTTGCCTACAGTTTATCCTCGGGTGACGAGCAGCTCCATCTACAAGCATTTCAGGTAACGAGCAAGCCATTCGCAGAAAATTTGTTTCTATTTACGAGCTTCCGCTTAGTTAACAAGCTGTCAGTGCGTGCGTGTGCGTATGTGTCTGTGTCCACCGTTGAGTCTTGCTTTCAGAGCGTGGGTCCTCGGTCGCCTGCCAAGTGACCAAGCAGTGAACTGATGTAGTTTGCTTGACTGCGTTTCGCAAAAGGAGCATTTCACATGACAAGCTAGGTGCTGGAACGCATTAACTTCGTTAACCGAGGTCTCACTGTTTTTGAAAAAAACTTTAGCTAGCCGGCCTTTTAGGTGCTTGCTTATCAATCAAGTACTTTTGAAAAGATAATGAACTTATCAGAATCCATGATTCGTTCACGCGAGGTAAAAGTGTGTAGGTGAGGCGTGTAGTTGGGCCAGTATGGGGATCAGGGTTTGTACTAAGGGGTGGGGAAGCGAAAAATGCCATTACCATAATTAATTAACAATAGATGATGTGGATGTCAATCTGGTGTGGAGGAAAATATCGTAAGAGCAGTCTGAACGAGTGAGCATCCTTGTTTATATTCAAGATGCCGTACTAGTCAGAAGCTCACAAATTAGTTTTTTTTTTCGATTCCTGGCCGCTGTGTTTTGCAGCCAAGGAGGGTGTAACCTAGTGATGGGTCCTCATCATTTTCCTTCGGGTTCCTGTTCTCCGAAATTAATGAATAAATTTCTACTTAAATGCTCGGGACATAGATATTTAAACAGCCCAATAGAACCCCCCCCCAGCAGACCAGTCGTTTACCCTGCAGGTGTTCACATGCTGCAACAATGAATAGCATAGTTTGATTGCTGTCAATAATTTGTATGTGCCATCTCCACAAACACCACCTAAAATCCTTATGTTGAGCATATGAAGGCATAATGCTTAAGTTTGCAGCAGTACTTTTGAAATAAATATATCGAGGTGGTAACTGCACTTCACTGGCGGACATTTCAAACAATGTAAACATCGGTCTATGGAATTATTATTTTACTGTCAGTTCTGTCGACTCACCCGGCCGCTATAGTGTCCGTGCCCCCGGTCTTAGATCCCTCACTTTTAAGGTAGCATTCACTTCACCAATAGGTATTTGTATTTCCTTACCTTCCTAACCTCAGAGGCATTACCGTTGTTTATGTTTGCGTAGGCCTGTCTTAGCGAGCTTCTACGAGTACTTGTGTATGAACTTGGGCGGCTTTAAAAGGTGCATAGTAGTGTGTTTAGGTTTCGGACAAGCATAACACCCACGCATGGGAAGCCAACCAACTGTCGTCATTGTTCCGATTGAAATTGCTTTCTTTATTCATACAGCCTTTCCAAGATGTTAACCGTAAATTTTTCACTGATCTCTATGAAGATCATCAATCGTTAGTCAATGCAAGATTTTTGCAGCGTTTCTCATTTCAAAAAGCGTAAAAAGATGGTTTTCCGAAAAAACGAGCACATAATATTCTGAAAAAAATTATTACCTTCATATATGATGTGATTTTTCACGTGAGTGTAACGTGTGTAGCTCTAGTATTTAGGATCCCACACTGACACGGTAGTCAATTTCAAACATTAAATTATTTCAGGAAATGCCTTCTTCTAAGACTAATTGTAGAAAAGGGAAAGTTTGTTTTAGCTAGGTTGACGCACAATTAATGTGGACCTAGTACGCTCCGGACGGTGTGAAATAATGCTGATTCTCATTGATGAACGTTCACCCGACCGCTAGCGGAACTTATCTGCCCCTCTCTGCCTAGGGCCTTGATAGAGGCCCTGACAGCCGTAGCAGCTGGTAGTACTGGGCAAACAAAGGCAAGGGAGACTGGAATGACCATTTCTGGCTTAATAGCCGTCCTCAGCCAGTCATACCCAGACCCAAATGGTATCCCACCCGAGCCTCGAACTCGCCACCTTTTTGGTCAGAGTCAAACGTGCCTACGTTTTCGAGCGTTTTTCTAAACCGACCGTTCTTTTTTTCGCAATTTGACTTCACAAGTAGGTCATAATAAACCGAGTTAAGGATTTTAGGATTTGCTTGTGGGCTTAAACAGTAGTGGGCATCAGGCTCTGTCACTGCTGACTTCCGTATTTTATTGCCTTGTATCTTTATGTCTATCGGCGCTCAAGTACACATAAAGTGTTAATTGCCCTTAGCCCTATAAATCTCCGCGTCTACCCGTCGTCCTAAATTTTCTCTTAACAACATACAAACAAGGCCGCCCTCCCAGTTGACGTAGTTGTACCTTCCTACCATGATGTTGAAAACGAAGCTGTCTTCCCTTCAACTGCTTCCTACTCCCTAAAAACTTAAAGTGCTGATGCTTTATAACAGCCCTAGTAATAAACTTGTTGAAGGCCGTGGCTATCCTGAAGATAACCAACTCACATCATACCGCGATAACCGTGCGCTTCAGTGCTTTCCACCCATATAAATCAGCCCCTTGCAAGGTTTTAGACTCGGTTCTGAAGAGCTGTGGGTGGCAAGGTCCTACTGACGTACAATATTTTTTTCTTGCACTACGGCTGCTGTACCACCACGAAGCATTACCTAAAGCACATACTTACTTTAAAATCACCTTTTCCCCCACGACTAAAGTCATCACATGCGCACACGGATATCCAAAGAAATAAAACAAAACAAGCATATGGAAAGTGATCTTGCCGTACTCTAAAATCAGTAGTGATCCTACCCAAGCTTTATGGCCATATTAGCTGTTGCTATTTAATTTTATCCCTGCCTGCGAATAATTCAGGAGATAGTAAGCAGGTTTGCCAGAGAACACTTTATCACTAACGACCTCTTGGTAGACCCAGCATAATATTTCGGCACAAACCTGACGACCATTTTATGACACTATGCTACTTACACACTTATTTTTAAGAACTCCCTGTGTACACAAGAACTTCGGGAGCTTTCCAACCCTGGTGCAAGCGGATCCATCTTCTACATCAGCACGGATGACGAGTTTATTTTGAAAACTGTCCAGCACAAGGAAGCGGACTTCCTGCAGAAACTTCTCCCCGAGTACTATATGAATTTGGTCCAGCACACGCGTACCCTCTTACCCAAATTCTATGGCCTTCACTGTTATCAGGTGGGCGAATGGTTTCTTTCTTTAAATATTCTGTACAATTCTCACAAATTTGCTTGCATTCCTTTACTTGCTACCAACACGCTCGCTGTTTGTTTGCCAACATTCCTGTGACATCCCTTCGCAATTTTTACTGAAGGCTACTGGTGTGATGGAGGCAGTTCTGTGTAGTTTAGTCACCGTTAGGGGGAAAAAGTCTGTTGATACATTGGAGCGCTAGAGATGTCGACTGACTGTTTGTTCTCCGTACCTGCGACTGAACCGACCCCCCCCCGGTGGGAAAATGTGTGTTGCTCTTGTGCGTAGGCCTAACATTTGTGCAGACGACTGTTCCCACTCCTTATAACATCTTTCTAAATTAGCCATGCACGAATGCGATCACAGCTAGGCTCGCGATCAAGGCGTACGTCTGACGTTTCCCTTATGTTGCAGCTTGACGAAACGACGGTTTTACCGTCGGTTTCCATGATGTCCACACCACGAGCTTCAGCAAGCTGAAGGCAAACCTGGTTACTCAACGCGGCAGCATAGTGAAAGTGGACTCACGCAGAATCTGTCCCACTCTCTCACC